CTCTGTTGCGTAATAATAATAATAATAATAGTAATAACGGATTTTACATAGCAAATTATGGCGCATGCGGCAGCGCAGTTGGTTCAGGCACTATGCTACAACCCGAAACGTCACGGGTTCGATTCCCGATGAGGTCATTATATTTTCTCAATTGACCTAATCCTTCCAGTCGAACCATGGCCCTGGGTCGACTCAGCCAGGAATATTCCTGGGGGTATAGGGCGGCCGGCGCATTAAGGCTGACAACCTTATCGCCATCCGTGAGCCGATTGTCTAGAAAATATGGGAGCCTCGATGTCTCACAACCCTATGGGCCTCCACGGCCTGTTACAGGGATAGCGTTATTTTACAGCAAATTACACTAGTTAAAAATACGTCCTTTTGGCATAAATTTGTTTGTTCCAATTCTGGTGCGACTGGAAAGAAAGAGCATCTTCACGTGGTTCACAAGCTCGACAAGTCGTCATGCTTTTCTCATTCAGTAGAGTGAATATGCTACGTGTTGGGCGACCGGGGTTCTATTCGTAGCAGGGGCAAAGATGTTGCTCTTCTCCACAACGTCCTGACCGGCTATGAAATTAATCAAATCAATCCAAAGCACATCAGGAGGCCCCTCCCCGGAGGTAAAACAGTCGGGACGTAAAGTGGAGTATAGCCATCTATGAAAGGCTGAGAATGATTGCAGCTATACAACCCCTCCCTCCATACGTCTTCATGACGTGAGAGCTTTACGTTTACACCTCAGACTTCATCTGCGATTCATAGACCACCACCGGCTCGTAGACCATAAGCTGTGATGTGATCCTTGAATTCCTCTCAGAAGTTTCAAATTTGTGATGACAGTCCAACAGGTTTCATCAAATTATGGAGCCAGATAATCGACATTCTCCATCGTGCATTCATTTTATGTGCTTAAGAACATGGAAACATTTGTTGAAACTCAAATTTGTAAATCACAATACCTACAGGGTTGAAAATATATTTCTTTTTTCGCTATTCTAAACTAGGTCAATCCCGCTTGCAGCGTTTATTCACACGGAAATTGCCGGAGAAAGTTGCTTACCTTTCTGCTTGAAATTTTACGCCTGCGTGCAGTGAAACAAGCTGGTTTAAAATTTGAGGTCCTCCTTGCAGTATGGGATGTAATTGACCTTCGTGTTAATTTGGCGTAAACATAACTCTATTGCTTTAGCTACATTTTCTTATTTTTGTTTGAGAAACTGTCCATTAGGCCTATCTCAACGTTGTTAAAAACTATACAATACTGAACAGAATACTGAACGGAAAGAAAATTACAGTTCATAAGTTGATCTCTTGGACATACATTTGGGTTGTCAAGCCAATGTATTTATTATTTAATGGCGGCATCGTTCCAACATATGCAGTTTCGAATCATAATCTAACGATTAATGAATTGGAAAGAGTGTAAAAGAAAGCGGTTTGGGCTGACATCTTCCTGTAGGGACTGAGGATATCCAGGGAAAATCTAGAGTCAGGATAGTCAGTGTCCCTTCCGAGATTACAACTTACCTCCTAAGTACAAGTCAAAAATTTAGCACCTGAAACAGCCTGATAAGTGAAAAATCAAAAGATGAGACGGGCATGTAGCACGCTTATGGGGTGTGGAAAATGTATACATTTTACTTGGTGAACGTTAATGGACAAAAGAACTTGACATAATGGTAAATCGTAGTATAATATTAAAATAAATATTGAAAGATACTATTGAACTGACTCAAAATAGGCAGCGGGTTCTTGTAAGCATGGAAATACATATTTGGGTTCCATTAGAGGCGGGAAAATTTGACCACCCGAGGAACTATCAGCTTCTCAAGGGCTTTACTACATGTAGATGATATGCGTGGGAATTAGAAAAAGTCACGATATCTGGAAAGTACAATGATGGTAAAGGTATGCATCTGTTTTCCAAAGAATATCACACGCTAGGTCACAAGGTCTAACACATGTGATAATGTAAAGATATTACAATCAAGGTTCGATCATTTACGTGAAACGGTAACCGGAACTGATTTTGTGAAATTCAGTTATATGTACACTGTCAATAATGCAACAATGATATATAAAATAAATAAAATAAGGCACCTAAAACATGTTCTTCAATAAAAGTGTAGTTTTTATACTTTAAAATGTTATTAAATATTATAAAATGTCATTAAGATAATAATATTGCAATGATCTTGTGAAAGGTTCAAGAAAGGACCAGGGTTAAGATTGGAAATTACGCCCAAAGTAAATATCACGATGAAATAAGGTTCAAGAATGGAACCTGTAAAACTACTTGCTAATCAAGCAATGAAATTCATATCTGCAATGCATAATTTTTATTTAAATGTAAAAAATAATCATTTCACAGAAATGACATACACTTCAGTAATAATAATAATAATAGTTATAATTATAATAATAATAATATACACACAAAATTAAGTGACTCTGCATGTATAAGTCTAGGAATCTCTCATGTTGGTGGCAGTGATGAAACAAGATTTGGGATTGCAACCATAAAATGTTATGAACGAGCTGAATATCGTGTTAATTGCATCATTTTACCCCGGTTTCCCCTACAGCCACAAAATTCTCCTCCTGTATACCCATTATTTTAAATCGCCTTCTTCGACAAGAGTGTTTAATTTTGCTTGGGTTTAACATATTTTAGTACATGAAAACTGGAAATATCGGCCCCTACGCCTAAGCATTATCCCGTTAAGACGTATTGAGTAATTTCGGAATTACAAGTGAGTGGATGGTTTAAAGCTCCGGCCACTTTAACCCTATAATCGATGTTTCTGTAGCAGTTTAAAAGGTTAACTTAAGAGTTGGGATTGATGTGGAAGGTGGCGAAATGAAACCCCTTGTCTCTACCGGGAACCTAATCCCGGTCGTCCAGAACGTAACCACTCACTCACCGAGCTATCCCGGTTCATAAAAACGAGAGCACTGTTTTTGAAAAAATAAGTTTAGTAAATATAAATTTCATCAACTAATTGGAATACGTATATGCGATGCGTGGACATATATGGAAAGTTATTTTCGACATTGGGAGGGCCTATTGACACTGGTGTCAACTGTATCGTCTCAGTACTGCTGGTGTTATTTAACATTTAAGGAATATTTTCAACCACTCATCAAAATTTATCAAAATGTTACGCTATTTCCATGCGGAACCTCACAAATGGAATAACGTGCTTCCAGTAAACTTGCATAAAGTTCCAAATGGTGTCGAGAGATGGCAGGCCAGGTTTCTTTCCGTTGATATCACACACCAAAAATGAAGGGTCACTTTCAAAGCAACGTATCTCTCTTTCGTGGGCGGTAAAGGGTTCAAAAGGCGTAACATTTCAGAGTGCTGACACTGAAAATATTTTACATGTTTTGGTAATAAAAAAATACTCCAGCAGTATCGTCTAATAACGTCAAAATATTAGTGCTTTGTTAATGTTATGCAGTAACACAAAGTTACACGCTTGTCTTCGATAACAATTTGTAATATCCAAACTGGTATCAGTCACAAGACAGTTTCATATAAAAAGGCAATAACAAGCGTGGCACACCCAAATCACAACCACTGACTCACAAATGCCGCTATTAGTAAAATATTTAACCTTTTAAAAACTGGATACATATATATATTCCCGGATAGAATACTTGGCGAATACCGCCATGTCAAACCATATTGCTATAAGCAAAACCCTACTTTGCGGGGGAAAAAAAAAAAGTTTCATTAATTTTTCTCTGAATTTGGACGTACGGTCCCGGAAACGACAATTTCCGTGTCCGACTGTTAGTTCTTAAAAGGTTAAGGATTTATGTGCGATTTACAGTGTGGTTCGTTGTATTTTGTCCACAATATACTGTTTTGGTAACAACGAAATGTGTGCAAAAAAATACAGATCAATTAAGTTTATTGTAGACTCTCACAAGCGTGAGTACACAACAAATCACACATTTCTAAACAAATATGTCTTAATCCTTTGAAGCACAGTAGTAACTATATTTACCATCTGTTTTAACGTTTAAAAGTTCTCGACTTTACTCCTATGAGTTTTGTACGATTCTTAAGAATAAACAATTTCCCTACAGAAGCATTAACCTTAAGTGTTTTCTGTGAGGTACGAACTGCATGTTTAAATATTACGTTGATTAACTTCGTGCTTCAAAGGGTTAATCTACATCTTATATAAGAAGCTGCCCTTTACTGAAGATGAGTTTATAGATTTTCGAAGAGATAAGGACTTGTGTACATAACAGGGATTTCTTACAGCACTTGGTACACACATGCTTATTACAACCAATAATTTGACAACGTGGCTAGGACAGCAGCGAAACCAGAAGTATCTGATCTAACACTCTCACTCTCTCTAGTTACCAAGCAAGCACTACTCCGGAATATGAAAGGTCAATGCCCGTTCAAGAAACTTCAAGTCTCCATAATGCGGAGTTTTTAAATATTTTAAATAAAGTTAACACATCAGCTACGTTCATAATTATAAACATAAATTTTAATTAAACCCATGTTTAAATTTTTAGCAAAATTGCATACTGTCGTTTCGTCTCACTACCCAAATGTCATACAATCTAACAGTTGACTTAATATAGCATTTGCAGAGAGCATAATTTTAACCCTTTCCATGTTAAGCTGAGCCAGTTTATTTCCTGCAATATCTACGGAAGTGTTTGTATCAGTGGTAACTCAATATATTTATTCGCGAGCAGATTAAGTTATGTATAATTATAAAATACAATTTTCACCAATATTTTAAGAACATAAATAGCTACTTCAATAACCTCTATCATACACAGCATGGAAAGGGTTAAACAGAAAGTGTATGTCGTACTTATATTCAAATGGTAACACAATTATATTTTTAAAAAAATACGTGTTCAACAGCTGTTTCATGACAAAACACATGATATACCTGTTACGTCACATACATAACATTACATTATAAATAATAAATATTGGTTCTGAAGAGGCTTACCAAAAGCCGGGACACGTGGTCGCACAACCCTGATGTAGTCATTGGCAGTCTTCCTCTGGGTCGGGCGACCAGGAGCTAGCAGAAACAGCTGATCACTGCCGTCTCTCGCCCCCCCAGCTCCCTTCGCCCTGGCTTTCATCAGATACGCACGTTCGTCACATGTCCCTACTTCCTTTTTCTTCTTCTTCTTCTTCCTTCGTATGTTGTGTGTGGATTTCTTGTTAACCCCTATCATTTTCCGGAAGAAAATGGTCCGTCCCTTCAGTTCAAAAATGTGGTTACATGATGCAGCTCGGTAAACATGTTCATTGTTGCCTCCTGATGTTGTCAATCCTGCCCTTCCTCAGTACAGCCCAGTGGGGTCAAGATGTGTTGGATCGTCCATGGTTATGGTGTCGGCTTCTCTTCTGGTGACACAGCCAAAGTTTGTCAGCTTGATGCTTAGTCTTGAAGCCTCTTCTGCTTGTGGTAACTAGGAACACCTCGTGGACTAGTAGAGGCCAGTAGGATCCAATGTTTTGGGATTCATTCTGATATTAAAACGTTCAATTAGGTATAAATTAAGGCACTTGGCAGTGTGGATTATGCCTGAGTACTCGTACAGCAATGACAATCGAGTCTTCCTCTCCCCTATATTAAGAATCTCCTTGGAATAATATGAACGAAAACTTGTTGCACGTTGCCAGTAAAAGATGTCACCCACAGTTCATACACGACCGCACACTCCTCTGAGTGCTGCAACCTGGAGTACCTCTCCGTCCGAGATCTGCCCAACACTTGCTGCCAGTCTTGCCTGGGCCCCGAGTTTCATTACGTGCGGCTAGCGGGAGCGTAGACACGGTCGGAGGGGAGGGAGGGTTTGAATGGGAGAGGGGAACAATGGAGGGGGAGGACCCCCGGAAGTTTAAAATCTTGCGGTGGTCCTGTGTGTCTCCCAATTTGACCGACCTGGAAACCTTCCTTACCTATGACTCCAATACTATGGAGGGGGAAGTTGGAGTTGTTAGTGGAGGGGGGGGGAGGTTCCTCACCTTATGTTATAATACGAAGAGAAGTGTCGTTTGATACTAACAGAATGCCATAGCTCGTCAGGAAATGAGTGAATAACAGAACAGTAATTATCCCTTTCATATTCACGCATTCTCGAGATATACAGTTGTAAAGGACTGGGGACAAGGACGCGACCGGAATGGACAAACATTTTCTTTTCTTTGGGTGGACGTAACAGGGGGGCCGAACAAAATTACGTGGATAATGAGAAGCCTAGCGGCTCACGGTGACCGCGCGGTCTGACGTATGAACTGTCTTCGCTCGCTCGAACGCTGGTATCATGAGTTCGAATCCCACTCGAGGCATAGAAGTCTCTACTGTGGGCGTTTATTCGTGTTTGCTTTATTCTGTGTGTAGGTAGTGGCTTTGCGGCGGGCTGATCCCCCGTCCAAGGAGTCCTACCGACTGTGTATAGATCAAGAAACTGAGGAAAAAACGGCCAAGTACCAACAAAGGGCTGCAGAGCCATAATTCAATTCAATTCTTTATTATTTATGTGCCGAGTCAACAGCCGCAAGGCCAATTACAGACAGAGCACAAGGTAGATTCAAGTAATTACATTATGGACAAACACAACATAATGTCAAAAACAAATTGCAGGAAAGCACTGGAGGGAAACACAATAATGCAGCCAAGTAAACAAACAAATAATAATAATAATAACGAGAAGCTTCATAATTTGTACAGTTCATCAGATATCACCAAGGCGACTAAATTAATAATTTTCAATGGGTATAACATGCGGCACATATCAGTCAGAGGAAAATTTTATACCATTTGTCCGAAATTCCGAAGAAAGGAGAGAACCTGGAAGATACAGACTTAGATGAAAGGATAATATTAAGATTAATTGTAAATATATACTGTTGACTGGATTCTTCTGGCTCAGGATAGGGTCCAGTGGTGGGCTCTTGTAAACACGGCAAAGAAACTCCCGATTTCCGTCCTTCCACTTCCAAGAAATTAAAATAAAATTGTAATTATCTTCTTCTCTTCTACCTCTTCCTCTTATTTTTCATCCTGTCCAACTTATACTAGTCCTCTTTCCTCTTCTTCGTCTCCCTGCTTCTTCTCAACGTTCTTCATGTCCTGCTTCTTCCTATTTATACTCTTCTTCAACTTAAATTTATTTCCATGTCTGCGCTGTTAACATTTCGTGACCTCACAAAGGTCTAACACTACCATCTATTTAGTTACCAGCCTGGACTGACGGCACACGGTAGCGTAGTTGGTTGAGGCACTAAGCTATAAACTGGAAGGTCGCGGGTTCGATTCCAGATGAGGTCACTGGATTTTTCAAATGACCTAATCCTTCTAGCCGCACTATGGACCTAGGGACAACTCAGCCTATAACAGAAATGAATACCAGGAATCTTCCTGGGTAAAGGGCTGACAACCTCACCGCCATCTGTAAGACGAGTGTCTAGAAAAGGTGGGAGCCTCGACGTCTCACAACCCTATGGCCTCCACGGCCTGTTACAGGGATAACTTCATTTTTTTAAACCCAGCCTGGACTCGCTTTCAAGGCTGTCTGGCATATAACATTTACCAGCTGATGTCTAAATATCGTATAAAAAGCGGTGACTGAAATTGAAGAAGGCGTGTGGAGACTTACCGAATGTCAGATGGAAACGCATCAAATGTTCTTTTAGCAGTGACGAAAGGAAGAGAGACAGAAAAAAAACTGAGTTACATTACAGGCGGCCTCGCGATTCCGCGCCTAACCTCAATTACATAAATCTTGATCTAAACATGTCGACATGTTCTTAAACCATACGAACTGACCGGCCTCGGTTCGATTCCCAACAGGAACGGAGATTTCTCTTCTCGCCAATACAGTCCAATCCCCGAACTTTTGGGGAGCGATGACTGATTCATCCTACCCCAATGCCGAAGTGTAGAATGTACAGAGCTTCCCATGTCGTGTACATGTCTTGTGTGTCAATTGAACCAGCATAAGAAAACAATGTCTTGACTTTTACCGTATCTCCAAGCTGTAGAATGTTCAAAGAATGAAAACGCGTAAACCTCAAACATGTAACTGAAGTAAAGACCTGCTTTAAAATAGGCCATGTCATGGTATAGCACCATGTATTTAGTTGGTCTTCACAAAATAGTAAAACCATCAACTTAAAGAAGGTAGTATGGGCTGGGCTAGAAGCATGCATTGGAGGAGGCAAAGGTAAAGATTTTTCTTCTACCTTCTTCCCATTCAGTATTATGAAATTGTGAATCCTACAGAGAGTCGGTAGTACTCCTTGGAGGGGAGATCAGCCCGAAGCAAGACCCGTACTTACACATGACAAAAAACAAATACAGAACATAGACAGATATTCATGTCACGAGTGGGATTCGAACCCTATGATCCCAATGCTTGGGCTGGCGAAGGCACTGGCCAAGCTGTCCCTGTGCTCAGTTAATTAGGCACCATGCCATGAAGATTTGGTGAGTATTCTTGACCTGGGCACTAGATGGAAGTGAGTGATCAGCATCAAGACCCTGCGGCTTCAACCCGGGGGAAAGAACCCATGGTACCCTTTGTATAGGAGGATGGGTGGGCCCCAAAGCCGGTCTGAACGCTGTGGAGTAGGAAACAAAATCGAACCCCAGCCGTCCAGACCGTAACCCGTCCCTATATCGACTGAGCTATCCAGGGTCCATAGCACTACTGGGAGAGATGATAAATGCACACAAAATTTTAGAAGAGAACCTTCCTGTAGATGGGATAATATTAAGATGGATCTAGGCGTGACGACCAGGAACGCATTCATCTGCCTGAGGGTAATGGTCAGTGTAAAGCTGTTGTGAATGCGGTAATGAAATTTTAGTGTCTGACGGCGTTAACTATGAAGATTAGATCCACTGCTTTCTGACGCCGTGTAATTTGCTACAAAGGTGAACAGACGTTCTCGGGAGGACAACGCTATCTTCAACAGAACATTCAGTGATAAAAGAAAGGTCATTGTCCGTTTCCATCCTGAAGAGGGAAGCAGCAGGTTGGTGAAATTTAGGTAACGATCTATCAAGACGGCGTCATGTCCTACAAGAGAAATCATCACTGTAATGAAATTAGGTTTGCATAAATGACAGGAATATTGCTCAGTAGCTGAGTGGCTTGGCTGAGTGGCCACAAGCTCTCCAAAAAAAAAAAAAAAAACACTTCCTACATCACGCTTATCACAACATGTAACATTGCCTCTCCAGAGTATTGCATAATGGTTTTTGTGCAGGTTAGAAGGCAGAGGCGCTCATGCGGACCTGAGAAACCCACGTGACAACGAAACAGCTGATTGCAAATCTTTGTTAGTTTTGGAGAGGGGAGAAGACAACTAGGAGGGGAGTGACGTGGGATTGGTTGAACGTGGGAAAATGTGGGTGGAGTCAGGTAGCCTGGGTCAAGTAGCCCACTGACCAAAGTAGGCCGGTATGTGCTGTTGGGCCCATCGCATAGCTTATAGCTATTCCTACCCGATTGTTTGGTTTCCTGAGTGGGTAGGGGAGGTGGGGGGAGTGTTGACACAATAGTCCGCCGGGGTGGGGGAACAGACATAGGCCTTAACCATGTTTACAGCAATTACCTTATGGGCAGTAAAAGGGAATGAGACCAAAACCTTGAGGTCTAAACGATAAAGGTAACAACTAAAATTGTTCCTGTGATTAATCGATTTAGCAATACGCCATTAAGACGGGTTGGGGAGTTGAGGTATGGAGCCATCATTTTTTATTTCGGCACTAGATGGAGATAAGTGATCAGCTTCTCGCTCTGGCCGCTTTATCACGGTGGAAATAGCTCCCGTATTTAAGGGCCAGGAAGGTGGATGGGCCCCAGAACCGGTCTGGACGCTGTAGAGAGAAATTTCCTGCCGGGGATTGAAACCTGGCCGTCCAGCCCGTATCCCGTCGCTATGCCGACTGACCTATCCCACTGAATGGTAAAATTCGTTTTCAGAGGTTTATCTTGAGGATATACTATCTATATTAAAATAAGACGCTCGTTTCCATCTAAGTACACTGGTTCATTTCCTTATGTTGATTACATGTTCTTAAAACCTCGATATGTTTCGGTCATACGAGACCATACAAGACACACACACACACACACATATATATATATATAATATNACCCTCTATTCGCATAAGTTGGCACTAACTTCGCCGACAAGCTGTGGTCCCTCGGTCGGTATAGTTAGCTTGCGGACTAAAACCACGGAGTTTGTTTCTGTTTTGTTGTTTATCAGGGATTTAAAATATCTGCTTGTAACAGTGAAAGTTAACTGTGGAGATAACGGTAGCACTAAAATTAATTGTAGTTACTAGTTGGGGTGTATAAGGTGTCAATAAATCCAAATCATCCAATCCAAAGCACATCTATAAGTCACGCACCCTGCCTACACGTGACAGTATTATCATTGGTTTTATGTATATTTGCTACATGATTCGATCCAGCTGGATCATCATCAGGCAATTTTACATGAAATGTACCATTCGTTATTGACTTCTATTTCTATATGGATCCATATTAGTAATCATAAATGATCCATGTGAGATCTGAGCTTCTCACAGCGGTGACTATGAAGATTGCCGTCTTCTGGGATATGGCATCGTGTAGATATTTTGTTAACTGACGTTGCGGAGGAACATATCGCCTCCATCTTCAGGGTATAAGAAATTAGTCTACAAATACCTGCTCACACTGATTCATCGCTCGCGGATTTCTTACACCCTGAAGATGGAAGCGATACTTTCCTCCGAAACGACAGTT